GGGGTGGAGGTGGCGTGGGGGGGGGGGGGGCGGTGATGAGATGGGATGGGCAAGGGGATACTGTTGCGTCTGTTGCTTGTTGTCGCTTACTGCTTGCTGCTTACTGCGAGCTGTCGGTTGTTCGAGGACTGCCGATTATTGATTGCTTCACTGGAGATGGCGGTGGGCGATGGCTCGGGCGGTGGCTCGGGTGGGGCGGTGGCTCGGGTGGGGCGGTGGCTCGGGTGGGGCGGTGGCTCGGGTGGCGGTGGCTTGGAGCGAGGCGAGAGTCGGCTGGGAGGTGATTCGCTTGTTTTGCAGGTTGAAGGGGAGAAGACGATCGAGTTGGATCGACACTCCTCGCGCGTCAGTGCATCGAGGCCGGACAACCTCGCGCACCTGACACCGCACCTCGCCCCGAGTCTTGCTGTGTGTCTTGATTTCTGACGTCAATCCGCACCCCCATGGACGACACGTCCGGCTACAAGCGGCCGCCCATCAAGGCCAACCATGCGATCTCTGTCCCCGGTTCCACGGACGCCAGGTACGCACCACCGTTTCCCCTCAAACCACAACCACATGCCAAGGTAGCCCATGCTCTTGGCTATCCAGAGCATCTGCTGCGAGCTTTATACGCTGGGAAGCACTCCCACAATCCCGCACGCCGTCCTCGTTGGTGGCTGGGCCTCTCGGCCCCTGTTTTTCGGTCCCTCGGGGCGAGCGAGCGTTTTTCCACACTCCTGGTATTGATGTGTGGTGGCGAGGGCTTTCCGGGCCGGCATGAGCGGGGTGAAGGCCGAAAAACGAGACAGCATGGACTGGAGAGGTGGAGGGTAGGCAGGCCATGCCAAAGGTGTGGCGGTATGGGGTGTTATGGAGGTCTACGTCCTTTGCGGGTGGTTTGTGAAGACCTGGCGGACGGTGGTGGCTTCGCAGGCGTCCGTTTGACCACTTTTGCACGGCCGTCACTCACTCGATTGATTTCAACGGCGATGCTGTTGTGTATTGGGGGGGAATGACACAGGCGTGGGTCTGGAGCGTCGGTGTCTGTGGCGAGGCAGTCGCCCGAGCTTGACCGTCGGACGACTCCAACGCGGTCGATGTCTCCTGCGCGGCAGCGTGTGTCGCCGTCGATGAACGAGCTGTCGACCATCCTCGGCGTGGCGCGGACGTCGGGCGGGACGGCGCGGATCGGACGGCGGCCATCGCCGCGCGAAGTTGGCTCGTTCACGTCGTCTGCGTATCACTCGGACCTGTACTCGTCGCTGCCGCACTCGTCTGCGGCGCACCAAAAGCCGCGGCCCGGGACGGCGCCGTACCCGAGGCACTCTTCGGCCAAGACCAAGGGAGTCGGTGCGCTGGCGACCGGGGTCAAGGTTCGCGGGGGCACAAGCGGCGCGAGTCGTCGGGGGCGTCTTCGGTGGTCTCGTCGTCCACCGGCACGCCAAACCCGTCGGCGACGTCGCCGGACGACGACGTTGGCTCGGCCTTTTCCGCGCCCGAGCCTGTGGCGCTCGGGCTGGACCCGCCAAGCGCGGCGCGGATGCGGCCGACGCTGCTCTCGCGGACGGCGGCGACGAGCCCGGGCGCCGCCGGGCGGACGTCGTCGCGGGCGACGTACCCGTCGTCGTCAGCGGGCGGCTCGCTCGTGGCCGAGTCTGTCTCGCGGCAGTCTGCGGCTGCCGGCGGGTCCAACTCGCCGTACGGCGACATGCGCTCGCCGCGCTCGCCGCTTCCGGCATCGATGGCCATGGCCTCGCCGCGGACGTCGACGAGCGCAAGCGCGAGCGCGACTGCGACTGCGGTGATGGCTCCAAGCACGCCCACAACTGTGACCGCGGCCGTGGGCCCAGGCGCTATCTCGAGCGCGCGGAGCGACGGCGCGCCCACGGCGCTGATGCAGACGCTGCTTGCGGCGACGCCGTCGGCGCTTGCGGCAGACTGCACCGAGGAGCAGCTTGATCTCATCATTTCCAAGCTCCGGGCTGCGCGCGAGATCACCGCGTCGCAGCGGATGTCGGGCACCGAGGGCTCGCCTGTCCTTGTGACGTCGCCGGTGGCGATTTCTGCGGTGCCGGTCTCGCCGGTGCCGGACGTGCGAGCGTCTGTGGTTGACTCGTACGAGGGGCCGTCGTCGTCGTCGACGACGTCTAACCTCGGCTTGGCGTCGACGGCGCGCTTCCTCAAGGAACAGCTCGACAGGTTCGAGGAGGAGATTGCTCGAGCGCGGCTGACGTCTGCGGGTGTGGCCCGAGCGGAGCCGATGCGTCACACCCGGCCTGTGGCTCCGGAGCCCGAGGCGCGTGGCGGCGAGCCCATCTCGTCCATGGGCGAGCTTTACAACTCGTACTCGCAGCTCTCGACCTCGCCGTCGCGCAACGGCACGTATGCCTTCCGCTCGCGACCGTCCAAGGACTCCGCGACGGCCCGGTCGGGCATCGAGATTGTGCAGGCGCCCGCCCAGCAGGTCACCCGCCACACCGCTCCCAACCCATCGCGCATGTACGACCTCCTTTCGCCGCGCTCGCAGAACTCACCGCGCTCCGCCTTCTCCACTCCCACCTCGCGCCAGTCGTCAGGGCGCGCCTCGCCGGCCCAGCCGCGCCAGTCTGCCGCTGTCAACTAGGTCCGGCCCCAGCCGTCTAGCCGGCTGTACTCCAGCATTGTCACACATCGTAACAAACCCCATGTATCCCACGCTGCGTATCCCTTGACAGTCTGTGGCGTAGCAGCCTGTCACGTTGGGCCAGAGCGGGTCGGCTGCCGGCTACTCGTTTCGGCTAGTGACCGAAATCGGCTGCCGTTGGAATTGCGGCTTCCAAACGAATCGTCTTTGGTAACCCTTCTCTCTCGTACGTTTGTGAAAGCTCAATATATTCGGGGGAGGGCGGGCAGGGCGACAACGCTCGGTGTGGCTGTTGCCCCCGGGTATACGCATCCCCCTCCCCCCAGAAGGTCCACCACGCCTACGCTGTGCACCATAGCCAGTACACTACCCTTGCCTTGTGGGTGGCTTGTAGCCATGTTATTTCGCTCTGTAACCCCCCCTCGTAGGGGCAGCGGGTGGCGTCCGCGGGCGACGTTTTTTTTGCGATGGTAGCCGTGAGCCTCGCTCGGCAGCCACCCCGCACCTCCCCTGCGCACTCGAGAGCGCGAGCGTCAACTTGCGCACACCTCCCCTTGCGGGAGGCGCAGTCAACGCTACCCTCCTCAAAGCCAGTTCAGGCTGCGCGAGTATGTCGTGCAGGTTGCTTTGGCAATGTCTGCGCTGCCGTCCACCGCAATGGTGGCGGCAGCTGTGGTGTCAGCTTTTTGGCGCGCATTTTGGCGCCAAGCGACAAGGCGATTTTTTCCCCTGCGGCGCAGAACGGGGGAGGCACGCGCGCCACTGGCCAACATTTTCAATAGGATTGCTAGACGCTGCACTCACGCAAAACTGGGCACTACAGAATCAACATGCGCGAGATTGTTCACGTCCAGGCCGGCCAGTGCGGTAACCAGATCGGCGCCAAGTTCTGGGAGGTTATCTCCGATGAGCACGGTGTCGACCCGACCGGCACCTACCACGGTGACTCGGACCTTCAGCTCGAGCGCATCAACGTGTACTACAACGAGGCGACCGGCGGCAAGTACGTCCCGCGCGCTGTGCTCGTCGATCTCGAGCCCGGTACCATGGACTCTGTCCGTGCTGGCCCGTACGGCCAGATCTTCCGCCCGGACAACTTTGTGTTCGGCCAGTCTGGCGCCGGTAACAACTGGGCCAAGGGCCACTACACCGAGGGTGCCGAGCTCATCGACTCTGTGCTTGACGTTGTCCGCAAGGAGGCCGAGTCGTGCGACTGCCTTCAGGGCTTCCAGATCTGCCACTCGCTCGGTGGCGGTACCGGCTCCGGCATGGGCACCCTCCTGATCTCCAAGATCCGTGAGGAGTACCCCGACCGGATGATGTGCACCTTCTCGGTTGTGCCGTCGCCCAAGGTGTCGGACACGGTCGTCGAGCCGTACAACGCCACGCTCTCTGTCCACCAGCTCGTCGAGAACTCGGACGAGGTCATGTGCATTGACAACGAGGCCCTGTACGACATCTGCTTCCGCACCCTCAAGCTGACCACCCCGACCTACGGTGACCTCAACCACCTCGTGTCGGCGGTCATGTCGGGTGTCACCACCTGCCTCCGCTTCCCGGGCCAGCTTAACTCGGACCTCCGCAAGCTCGCGGTCAACCTTGTGCCGTTCCCGCGCCTCCACTTCTTCATGATTGGCTTTGCGCCGCTCACCTCGCGTGGCTCGCAGCAGTACCGCGCCCTCACCGTTCCGGAGCTCACCCAGCAGATGTTCGATGCCAAGAACATGATGGCCGCCTCGGACCCGCGCCACGGCCGCTACCTCACCGCTTCGGCCATGTTCCGCGGCCGCATGTCGACCAAGGAGGTTGACGAGCAGATGCTCAACGTCCAGAACAAGAACTCGTCGTACTTTGTCGAGTGGATCCCGAACAACATCAAGTCGTCGGTTTGCGACATCCCGCCCAAGGGCCTCAAGATGTCGGTCACCTTTATCGGTAACTCGACTGCCATCCAGGAGCTCTTCAAGCGCGTCTCGGAGCAGTTCACGGCCATGTTCCGCCGTAAGGCTTTCCTCCACTGGTACACCGGTGAGGGCATGGACGAGATGGAGTTCACTGAGGCCGAGTCGAACATGAACGACCTCGTCTCCGAGTACCAGCAGTACCAGGACGCCACCGCCGAGGAGGAGGGCGAGTGGGAGGACGACGACTTTGGCGACTACGAGCCCGAGTACTAGACGTTGTCCTAGTACCTGTGCCTGCGCTGTGGTTTCTCGCCCGCATGTTGATCTGAATGAATTCTTTCTTTCTGTCTGTGTTGTGTGTTTGTGTCCAAGAAGCTGGCTGCTGGCAAGGTGGGTGTCGGTCGCCAGGTCGCCAGGTCGTCATTGGCTCCCGGCATTGGGCAGGCAGGATGGCGGCGTAGTGGACACGTCTCTCTTGGCTTCCCTACCGCACCCCCCCCCCCCCCCCCCACCACACACACACGTCTTGGAACTGCTTGCATTTTGCAGATTTGCGTGGAGAGAGACTGCTCATGTCGTGTTTCCGCAAGAGCAGCTCGTCACATGCTCGGCTGGCCGAGGGCGACCCAGAGGCGCAGGAGAACGGCGGACGGCGGACGACGCTGCAGCGGCTGGCGGCTGACTTTCAGACGACCAAGCGTGTGGTGCCGTACCTGTGGCCTGCGGGCGAGACGGGGCTAAAGGTGCGAGTCGTGGCCGCACTGGTTTTCATGGCGTTCTCCAAGATCCTCACCGTCATGCTGCCGCTCTTCTACAAGGCAGCGATCGACGCGCTGACCACGAGCCCGCCGACCATGCCAACTGGCATCATCATCGGGTATGGGCTGGTCCGGCTCGGCTCGCAGGCGTTCTCGGATGGCCGCGACGCGACGTTTATCAAGGTGACGCAAAACGCACTGCGGAGCGTGGCGCTTCGGACGTTCACCCATCTCCACTCGCTCTCGCTCGACTTTCATCTCAAGCGCAAGACCGGCGGCGTGCTGCGCGCCATCTCGCGCGGTACGCGCGGCATCTCGACGATTCTCTCGTTCTTCCTCTTTAACATCGGGCCGATCATTCTCGAAGTGCTCTTTACCTGCGGCATCCTGCTGGTGCAATACGAGGGCTGGTTTGCGCTCATCACGTTTGTCACCATTGTGACGTACATTGTGTGGACGCTAGTCATCACCGAGTGGCGCAACAAGTTCCGCCGCGAGATGAACGCCAAGGACAATGACGCCAACGACAAGGCGGTCGACTCGCTGCTCAACTACGAGACGGTCAAGTACTTCTCCAACGAAGGCCATGAGCAGAACCGGTACGACTTTGCGCTGCGCGGGTACATGAAGGCGGCGATTGCGTCGCAGTCGTCCCTGATGGTGCTCAACGTGGGGCAAGCCGGGCTCATTGCGGTGGGGGTCACATCGGTCATGCTTCTCGCGGCAAGACGGGTGGTCTCAGGCCACATGACGGCGGGTGACTTTGTGCTTGTCAACACGTACCTGCTCCAGCTCTACCTCCCGCTCAACTTTCTGGGCTCGTCGTACCGGATGATCAAGCAGGGGCTCGTCGACGTGGACTCGATGATGCAGCTCCTGGACGTTCCGCGCGACGTGGTGGACGTACCGGTGCCCGAGGCGCTGCCGACACCGCTGACGGGTGCGGTGGAGTTTAACGACGTGTACTTTCGGTACCGCGACGATGTTGCGGTCCTCAACGGGGTCTCGTTCGAGGTGCCTGCAGGCGGGTCGCTCGCGCTTGTGGGTGCGTCGGGCGCCGGCAAGTCGACGATCGCGCGGCTGCTGTACCGGTTCTACGACGTTAACAGTGGGGCTATTCTGCTCGACGGGGTGCGAATCGACGAGGTCGACCAGGCGGCCCTGCGGCGGCAGATCGGTATTGTACCGCAGGACACTGTCCTGTTCAACGACACACTCGGATACAACATCCGGTACGGCAACCCACGGGCGTCGCACGAGCAGGTGGTGGCGGCGGCGCGCGCGGCGCAGATCCACGAGTTTGTCGAATCACTGCCCGAGGGCTACGAGACCAAGGTGGGCGAGCGCGGCCTCCGACTGTCGGGCGGCGAGAAGCAGCGAGTGGCCATTGCGCGGGCGCTGCTCAAGGATCCACCGGTGATGATTTTCGACGAGGCGACGTCGGCGCTCGACACCCGGACCGAGCGCGAGATTCAGGACGCGCTGGCTTCGGCGGCGGTGGGGCGGACAACCATCACGATTGCGCACCGGCTCTCAACGATTGTCGACGTCGATCAAATCGTCGTCCTTGGCGACGGGTGTGTGCTCGAGCGCGGGACCCACGACGAGCTGGTTGCCCGCGACGACGGCGCGTACGCCGCGCTGTGGGAGGAGCAGCAGCGGGAGCAGTTCTAGATTGCGGATGATTAAAGGCCAAGGGCTAGGCGACGACAAGCTCGACAGCGCGTGAGGCTGCGAGCACCGAGAGCTCGGGGGAGATGGCACGGGCGTCGAGGGTGAGGCGAGCGAGAGTGCGGCACTTGGCAACGATGGCGATGGCGCCATCGGCGGAAATGCCAGTACAGCGCGAGAGATTGAGTCGCTCGAGATCCGAGGCAACAGCGGCAAGGACAACGACTCCCGAGTCGGTGAGCTTGGCCAAGCCGTGGCAGTTGAGCGAGACAAGCGAGGCAGCAGTGCCCGAGGCGGCAAGACAGCGGAGCAGGGCGTCCGACATGGCGGAGCAGCGGAGAAGATGGAGGGTGGCAAGGGCTGGCAGAGAAGCGGCGTTGATCAGAGCCGCATCGGTCAGTTGCTTGCACGAGCCGAGATTGAGCTTGCGCAGGTCAGGCAGGAGTGGGAGGGCCCCAGCGACGCCAGCGTCAGAGATGTGCGGAAGGCCGTAGAGGGTGAGCTCGACAAGATCGGGGCAGGAGGCGGCGACGACGGCGAGGCCGGTGTCGGTGACGAGCGAGCACTTGTAAAGGTTGAGGCGGACGAGGCGCGGGGTGGCTGGGGCGAGGCGGGTAATACCAACGTCGGTAACCTGATACACCATGTACAGGTTGAGCGAGCGGAGATGAGCGGCGGCTGGGGCGAGGGCTAGGCTGGCCAGCAGAGCATCGGTGACGCCCCAGCAGCGTGAGAGATCCAGGCTCTCCAAGCGCGGCAGCTGCGGAAGCGCGAGAGCCAGGCCAGTGTCGGTCACGTCCTTGCAAGTCGCGAGCGAGAGCGATCGCAGGGCCGAGGTCAGATACGGGGCGCGGGTGACGGCGGCGAGCCAGAGGTCAGCTGCGCCGTCAAAGCGCGAGAGAGCGAGATGACGGGAAAAGCGCACGGTACGCCACAGCAGCGGAATAGATGCCAGCTCTGCGCAGCCGCGAGAGACTTCCCGCATGACGGCGCGCTGACGAAGCGGGAGAAAGCGGAGGATGTGCAGGACGAGCTCTGCCGGGAGCGGAGCCAGATCGCCCATGAGCGGAGGCGGGGCCGGATGATGTGGGAACGAGGGCGAAACAGGCGAGAGCGGCGGAGAGCAACAAGAGAAGAACTCGTCTGATGTCGAATCTATTGACGCCGAGGTGGGAGATGCCGAGCCGGATGTAGCCGATGCCACAGGGGGTGCGTATGCTGCAGAAGCATCGGCTGACCACAGGTCGTCGCAGGTGTCCGAGGCCGAGGCCGAGGGAGTGAACCAGCCAGCCGAGGTGGATGATGAAGAGGTGGAGGGCGAGGGCAAACTGGGTGGGCCAGACGCCATGCCGGGGACGGGTGGGCTGGGCTGGGCTGGGCTGGGCTGGTGGGGTGGGGTGGTGTGGTGGGCTGGTGCGGTCACAGTGTGTCTGGCTGAGACTGTGGCAGAGGAGGGGGGGAGGGGGGGGGGGGGGAGGAGGGGGGGCTACGGACACCGCACTCGGAACAAAAAGAGGTTGGACTCGGCTGGGCTGGGTGTGTAGGGCTGGGTGTGTGTGGCTCGTCTGGCTGTGGTGTTGCGGTGCGTAGCTGTGGTCGTGGTCGTGGTCGTGGTCGTGGTCGTGGTCGTGGTCGTGGTCGTGGTCGTGGTCGTGGCTCTCTGGCTGCTGTGGCTGGCTTTCAGCTGAAGTTGAAGAAGCTTTGATTTTGCTCTCTTCTCTTGTGTGGATGGTGATTGACTGGTCGATGCGGCTATGGATGGTGGCGATAGTGGTGGCGATGGCAATGATGGTGGGGATGGACGAGTGTGTGGCGGCCAAGCTGGGCGATGGGGTGACTTTGCTAGAGGCAAATGAGATGGATCGGTGGATGGCGTTGAAGGTGGGCGAGATGTTCCAGATGGCCGGCTTGGAGGCTGTGGTGTTCACAGTCAGTCGGGTCGATGATGTCGGCGGACGAAGATGGTCGCGGTCGGGTGGAGCCGGCGACCTCGTGTGGCAGCACGAAGGTAGTCTTGTCATACATGCGGCAGCGATCGAGGCCACGGTGCCTGAGCCAGTTGCGGTGGTTGCGGTCAACTCGGAGGCTATACACGGGCGGGTGAGCTGGCTCGACGGGGCGGTGGCTGAGGTGACGACTGCGCGCGGGCTGGTTTGGATTGATCCCAAGGCCGCCGCAGCGCACGAGGCCGGGCTGATGCAGGGCCGTGAGCAAGGACTGGCGCCGCGGACGCTACCGAATGGAATATGTCCCGGTCCGCTGGCGAGTGCCGAGGAGCCTGCGCTGATCGACGTGCTGGTGGCGGTGACAGTGACGGTGGCAGAGAGCATGTCCGAGGCGGCATTGGACGCTCAAGTAGCGCTGGCGGAAGCCGAGGGCAACGCCGCGTTTAAGACATCGGAGGTGCATGCGGTGATCCGGGTTGTTGGCATTCACGTGACCGAGTACCGTGCCACGGGGACGTTCACTGAGACTGCTCTCCGGGTTTACCACGGGAACGATGGGTTCATGGACGATGTGCCCAAGCTGCGCGAGGAGCTGCAGGCAGACATGGTGTCATTGTGGATTGTTCCCAGCACAAAGTGCGGGATTGGGTTCACCATAGGAGGATACTCGGTGGAGGAGGCGGAGTCGGCGTACTCGGTGGTAGCGCTAGAGTGCACCACGACGTGGCTCTCGTTTGTCCACGAGCTCGCACACAACATGGGCGCGAACCATGACGCCATCAACGTGGCGGCAAACACTCTGTTTCCGTTCTCGCTTGGTAACCGCTTTGTGTATGGCGGTGAGCAGCTGCGGACGGTGATGGCGTACAAGCCTGGTCGGCGAGTGGCCTACTTTTCGTCGCCGGACGTGCTGTACGCCGATGCGGTAGCGACCGGATCAGAGACGGCCAACAACGTGTACACACTCAACTGTGGGGCGCCGCTGATTGCTTCGCTGAGGCAAACCAGGGGACAAGGCTGTGGCGATGGCGTTGTTGACGTCAGCAGCGGCGAGGAGTGCGACTCACAGCCATGCTGTTCATCACAATGCCGCTGGCTGGAAGCCGAAGCGCCATGCGGGGTGCTAGATGCGCTCACATGTCGAGTGCAACAGTGCTCAGTGAGCCACAAGTGTGAGACGGTGGTCCTGGCCGACGGCGAGGCGTGCGACGATGGCCTGGTGTGCAACGGGCCGGAGGCGTGCTTGGCCGGAGTTTGCACCAACCTCGGTGCTGCGGTCACATGTCCGGCACCGCCCGGCACAAACTGCCCCTGGCGCTGCTCCGAGACGCTCGGCGGGTGCGTGGCCGATGCCGGCGCCGCATGCGCTCGCCAAAGCAACTCGACGTGCATAGACGGCTTGTGCGACGCGGCTGGGATGTGCGTCGCGACGGAGAATGCGCTGCCGTGCTCGTGTGGCGATGATGCAGGAGCCTGCTGTGGCAGCGTATGCGAGCTGGAACCAGTGCCAGTGCCTGTCGATGGGGTCCTGGACACGTGGACCGGTGGCGGACGAAGCGCGGTCCGGGTGAAGCTCGGCTCTGTGGCGGACATGGCCGAGCTCTGGATCTCGCTAGATCCGACAACGGCAAAGCCCGCGGTGCAGGCTGTGCGTGACGACGAACCGAACACCCGAAAGACACTCTCTCCAAAGCGAGCGAGCAGCCTGGTGAGCTCGGTGGCGTTTGTCGTCGCGCCACCGGCTGGAGGCTGGGCAAGCTGGGAGACAGTGGAGATCGGCGTGGCTGAGGTCCTGGGCGCTGACGAGCGGGTTGGGATCCGCATCGCTTTCGGGTCGGAGACCGGAGCAGGAAGCGCGAGAGCCGATGGTGAGGGCTGGGTATTTGTAGTCGTGGTCATGGTGTGCATGGTGGTGGTGATGGTCTCGGCAACGGCTGTCATCGTCGGTCGGTTGACAGCGCAGCGGTTTGTGGTCCGGCCGGCGGCGTATCGGCTCGTCGAGCTTGGAACCAGCGGCTGCAGCTCGGATTTGAGCTCAGAATGATGAAGCATTGCGCGCACGGTCGCTACGTAGCACGATGAGCTAGCGCGAGTGTATTTGTGTGTGTGGTGTGGGGGGGGGGGGTCGTTGACTGATGACTCTTGGCCCTTGGACAAATATGGGCATCGCGCAAGCCGCGCTCCGCGACGCTCCAGAGACGTCGCAACGTCCATGGATTGTTGTAAAAGAGTAGCTCCTGAAACAAGTGTGTTATTGGCTGCCACAACAGAACACAGTCGGCGATGCAGAGATGGACGCTGCACGCGGTGCAAAAGGTCCGCAGCCGTGATCGCTTGCCATGAAGCTTCCGGCAGGCGAGGCAGTCGCGTCGCACGGCGGCTTGTTGGGAAAGTGGTGTTGACGAGCAACCGCTGCAGAGGGTCGCTTCCGCTTGCGCGACGGCGCGGACTTGACCGGCAAGCTCGTCCATCGCAAGACATCCTCGCGCTCTCCCGTCCGGCCGCTGTGGTCAACCCTGTGATGCTCTCCTTCCCGGTTGTCGGGGTCGTCAACAACAAGCTCCGCACCGTCCGCGCCCGCCGATCCGGAGGAGCGGCGCCGTACGGCACCTCGCGCGCCTCGCCCATGCTCCCAGGCGTCCGTCACCGCGACGGCAACTCGGGCATCCTTCAGGCGGGCGTCTACGTGTCGGCCATCACGTGCGGGCGCGCCTCCCACGTCAAGCCGCAGGCCAAGCAAGCGTCGCGCAGCGTCGGCCGGTGACCTGGAAGTCAAGCATCATCGGGTTGCTCACGTTGAGACGCGCGACAACGCGTCCGAACGACCGTACCGCTAAAGGTTTGGTGCTGGTGGTGGGCCAAGGCGATTGTGACCCGGTCCCGACCGGAGCCACCCGACTCGCGAGACCTGGTCATGGCCAACTCGAACATGACGGGCATGGGCACAACAGAGGGCGGGCCCGAGTTCCTTGAGGTGCAAGAGAACAGTCTTAGTATGTGCATAGTGTGGCAGGGAAGGGCCAGGTGAGGAGGTGGCATGATGGCGGGGGTGGGTGGGGGGGTGGGGAAGATTGTGGTGTGATGGCTGGCAGGGAGTGAGGGGGGTGGGGGGGT